AGTCATGGTTTTAATCATTATCAGATTGTTTTGTGGTTGGAATTACAGGCGGTTCTAAAATCTGCTGGTGCGCAAGTCTAAGCTCTGGAGATGGAAGGATCAGGAAGAGAAAGATCAGAGAGAAGTCGCAGTAAAGATGACGACAGCTTTCTACCCTGCGAAAGAAGAACTCCCCTTTAGCAAGTTCCAGGGTCTTATCGAGCTACAAAAAAAGAATGGCCTGGAGGTAACGTCCACTTACACAAACAACAAAACTTGTGGTGAGATGGTGTCTGTCCTTGGAAAGATGTTTAAGGAAGAAACAGTTCAAGAAATAAACCGGAACACCTACATCAGCGTCATGGCAGATGGAGCCATGGATGCAGGGGGCCTGGAAAACGAAACTGTTTTCTGTCACTATGTGCAGGATGGTCGTCCTGTTAACTGGTTGATCAGCGACAAAGCTGTTGAACATGCACACGCACAAGGTGTGTATTAAAATAAAATTAGGGTGATTCAATGAATAATGTGGAGGTAAAGTATTCATGAAGCATCCCAGCCTAACTTACTGTAAATGTTAAAGAAACAATAGATCTGTTAAATCTTTGGTTTAATGAAGTTTCAAGACGACAAATTTTATGTGTAACCTCGTCAAGTGGTGTTAGCGAACTTGTATGTCTTACACAAGAACACACTGATGAATTTGCTTGTTATATATGTTACCAAGAATTTTTTCCTTAAATTAGTATATTAATTTATTTTCAAGGCTCATGTTTTGTTATGAAAATTATTCTAAGACTAAAGGACACCATTTGTGCTACGTTTGAAGATGCTGGCATGAACTGGGAGTCAAAACTTGTTGCTTTTGGCACAGACAGTGCATCAGTAAACCTCGGCAAGAAGGCTGGACTAGCCACCCTCCCTAGAAAACAAGTGCCCTATCTCATGGACTTTCACTGTTTGCCTCATCGGCTTGAGCTTGCCCTCTTAGAACTCCAGAACAGCTTTAAGTCAGTAGATGACGTTTACACCATGCTCCACTTGATCTGGAAAATGTATCACTACAGCAAAAAGAGTGTGCAAGCTCTAAAATCTATCGCTGATGAGCTGCAAATCAACATACTAAAGCCAACACAAGTTAGAGGCACCCGCTGGCTCCCACACGTTAGCCGAGCTCTCAAAGTGTTTGTCGGAACCAAGCCTGCTGATCCGTCTGAAACCGGCCACTATTCCGCTGTGCTTATGCACATGGAAGACCTCAGTGTTAATTCGAAGGTTGCTGACATCCAGGGCCGAGCACGACACATCGTTGGAAAAATGAAAGATGTCCATTCTGCTGCTTTTTGCCATTTTTTGACCGATTTGTTTGCTATTTTGAGTCGACTGAGTTTGCAGATGCAGCGAAATGACATCATCCTTCGAACAGTTGTGTCTCTTCTGAAGGAATCCATGGTCCGCATTGAGTGCCTCACAAGTCGTCCGGTTCCTGATGGCCATTTAGCAAAGTTCCTCCAGATGGTGAAAGACATTCAAACATTCCAAGGAATTGTTCTGAGAGGCTCACTTGAGGGTAAAGCAAAATGGGGGGAATCATGACAGGCAGCCTTCAGTCTGAAATCGAGACTGCAGTGAATCTTTTGACAAAAGGTCTTCATGAAAGGTTTGACATTCTTCTGCATGAGAACGAGCACCCACCTTCCAATAAAGCACCTACCTATGGCCCTGGAGAGGTTGTCCAAGATTTGCTTGTGTCTAATTTGGATGCCTGGCCCACACATTCGAGTGATCTGATGGAGTATGGAAGAGAGGAGGTGCAGCGTTTAAGCAACTGGTTCAAAGTAGCATTGGAGAGAGCAGGCTGCAACACCAAAAACAT